AAGTGATGTAAACATACGTTCCACAGAAAGTCCAAGTCTTACGCCCGGGCGGTAACAGACGTTTAGCGAATCCAAAGTCTGTGAGCTTTGCGAACCCAAACTGATCCAAAAGCATATTCTCGGGCTTTAAGTCCCGGTAAATGATGTTTCGCGAGTGTAAGTAATCAAACGCTTCGATAACACACGAGACATAGAAACGAGTGGTGGTCTCATCGAAATGTCCCCGATCTCTGAGTATAGTCCACAGCTCTCCGCCCAGACATGACTCCAATAACATATATAAATATTTGGCATCTATTTTGGAGTTAGTATAGAGACGAGTCAGCCCTCACTCTCACAATATTAGATAACTAATTTAAAAAATCGATTGAATGGCAAAACCTTTGAACGTTTTGTACAATTTCACAATGAATTCACAGTTAGATTCCATCATAATTTGCTTTTCGCTTAAAATGTGCTGTTGTTGTCGTGTTTCCACAATCTGAGCCTTTTTCATCACTTTTAACGCAAAACTTTTGGTTTGATCTCTGGATAACGTAACCAACTCTACGCGTCCGAAACCTCCCACTCCAAGAGTGGCCACTTTTCTCAAGTCACTTAATACAATGCTAGCGTATTGTTCGTTCAATCTATCACACAATACACAGACAGGTATTAATTCAATGCAAAAACATTTTAATCAGTTGTTAGTAGTTTGAAAGAGAAATACCTCCAAAATTAGTTATTCTTCACAAGAGAAGCATTAAAAAAAAGTTTGAGTATGAGTTTGAATATGAGTTTGAGTTTTTGTTCAAATGCAAGTCATTTAAGCAAAGAAGAGGTACAACAGTTGTGGAAAATCACTTACTTTCGTCTTTCCATTACGTCCTCTTCGTATCGTTTAATCTTAATATCGTCTAAATTACTAATCAATTGATTAAATGATCTGTTTGTTAATAAAAATCAATTATTAGTGTTATAATTAGTGATCGAAATCCTCTTCATCTCATACTCTCTATCGATGACAAGACAACTGACACCAGTGTCTGATTCGGCGATTATGTTAGCGGTGCGGATGTCGTCTCCCTGTAGGGCTCGTTCGCCGAAAAAATCGCCCCGATTTAGGCATCGAATCACTTTCTCGGGAACACTAAAATCCATTCCATCGCCGTTATCTGTTTGCGACACAACCTCTTTAAGAGTCACTTTAACGGTTCCCCTATTGATAATAAAGAAGGTGTCGCCGCGACCGCCTTGTCTTATGATATAATCTCCCTTTTGGTAAGTCGTCTAAAAGTAAACAATTTTTTATTAGAGTTATAAGTAGTGGTAATTTTGCACTTTTCAGAATGTGTTTTCAATATCAACTCAAATAAATGCAAATATAATTGCAATGACAAAATCAATACCTCTTCGAGAACGTCGACTATTTTAGCGATAGTCTCGTCGCCCAACTTGTTTAACATGGGAACAGTCTTCAGGAAATCCATGTACTCTTTCTGTCTGATGAGACCCGTCTTAACCATAATTGCTTTGAAACATTGTCTCTCTATCGCCCATAGCTTACAGTCAGTTAGCGCTGTAATGAACATAACGTTACGATACTTTCAAAACACCGTATATGAGGAAAAAATGTTTAAAAACTGATAATTAAGTTATGAATTAAGCAGTCATTAAATAATACAGTTTGTAGTGATATAACAAACAAATGACTTAATCTAAAAAAAGATAGAAAATTCTCAAAAACCTAAAAGTAATTAGCATTTAATTATAGGTATAATTAAAAGTGCGAGATTCACATAATAACCATTATAACAATTATATGATAATTACAAACGACATGATTGGATACCTTTGACTGTTGCGGTTCGGGTACAGTTGTAGAGTATAGCTAACTCGCCAAACACTTTACCAGGGCCCATTTTGGACAAAAACTTGCCCCCTTTGGTCACTTCAACGCTGCCCTCTTCCATGACGAACACAATGGATCCGACCTCTCCTTCGGTGATAATATAGCGATCTTTTGAGTACTCCGTCGGATACATGCAATCTGTTATCTCTTTAATCTTCGCTTCCTCTAAGTTCTTCATGAATTCATTCTCGAGTATTGCATTCATTATCAACGCTCGGGAACTGAAACAACAAAAAACACAGTCATATAACAAATATAATACATTTATATTTACATTTAGCTATCAATTGTCACAACAAATGACAAATCATTTTCAGAGCGATTTGTTTCCATTCAAACAAAGGGTAATATTGTTTAACATTTTCGTCGATAAGAATGTTATGTTTTATTTATATTATTTGTATTGCTTTATGTGATTAACTATCAAACACTTATGCTAACAAATAACTGTTGCATTTTATTATATACTTTTCAACTAATTGTTTGCTAAACATATGTCTTAACTCTTTTAATAGAAGCTATAATTCTTACATTATTCATGACAGAGAAAAATCTTTAGTTTTTACATTTAAAGCAAAACTCAATATTGAATACCGAAAACCAATGCATTTAATAATTTAAAAGTACTTTTAAAATCAAGTAAACTATTTAAGATTTTTTAATAAATACAATTCATATGCTTTTTAAAATTGCAATCATTTGTAACAATCAATTGACAATTTAATCAACAAATATATTATTCATAACTCCTATAGAAGTAGATATGTTCAGAGGTTTTAGGTTTCAAAGGTAAAGGTCTCTGTATTTCATTTACTTTCTTTTTAAACATAATTATAATTAAAATGTTGTTTAAAAGTGGCATTAATTTTCCATAACATAAGCACAATATATACGAGTCTTATTTAAAACTATAAATATTGATTTCCTTGGGATTCCAGTGCTGTCTATATTTAGGTTAAAGATTAGCGGTTCAGACAATTAAGACAATTATAACCATAAATTAAACCATTTATTTAAATACAAATAATGTCTAACTATATTTAAAGTAAGCAATTTAGTGATAATTACATTTTTGTATATTACTAATATATAATTAAATAGTCTCATATAAATCCAAAGGTTGTTTGCATTCAATTATCACTTCATTAAGACTTTGTCAGCGAAAGCATAGCAACTGTTGTGCAAATGTTATACTGACAAACTCCTGAGAATGCAATCCCTCACATCGGGAACAGATTCTTAATTCCCTTATAGAAACACCTATATAGGGAACGACTTGCAGAGATATTGTAATATTTAACTTAAAATTAAATTGAAATATATAAAACTTACAAAACTTGTAAACTAAAACTTTTATAAATGGTCATTTACTATTTCCACATTTGGACATTTAATTCTTATTATAAAATACTTATAAATTCGTAACAATAAACTTTAAAGTAAATATTCTATACAATATATATGTTTAAACTATTGTGAAGGAACCTTGTTCTAAAAAAGTTTAAAAGTTTTTCACGTGCTAGCAATCGTTCCTTACCAAGAGGTTTGACAGTACATAAAAAATTCCTCAAAGACCGAGATTGCAGTTCACGTGAAATAAAGACACTTTGGATTCACTTTAAAACACATTTCATAATAATCTAGTTATCAAACTATTTTTTTTTTAAAATGGACATTAATATGAAATGACTAACAGATTGCCTAAAATTAGATTCCGGTACTCTTATCACAAATGTATTAATTTTATAATTATATAAAAATGATTAAATAGACCACAAATTTGATCTTTAAATTGAGATGATTTTAATAATCTTGTAATATATTCATTTCAAGTGTCGCTTAAAATTAGTGTTTATTTATAAAATTACAACAATTTAGTTATTAATAGTAGGAAACAAATAATAAATGTTGAGTACATTTAATCAAAAGTTGATTGTGTTGTTGCTATAATCACAACACCTATTAATATTGAAAGTCTAAATATAGTTATCATTTGTCGATGGCCAGCATTAACAATAATATGCCTAATATGCGATAATATGCCTTCATTTTCATTAGTTGTCCGCTTTTTAAACAAAAATGCAAATAAAGTGTATAAGACTTATACTATAAGTATTCAGGGCCTCAATACAAAAATATTTAAATCAATTTTAAAACAAAAATACATCAGAAAATGTAATTTTCGATTAAAAAACTTTTACATTACATGTTAAATCTATTTTTTGTGTGACATTAGGTTATAATAAAGTGTTGACAAAACGATACAAAATACAATAAAAATGATATCTAACTTATCTCTTAAAATAGTACATAAATATCTCTAATTGTCATTTGAGATGCTATTTATGTCTCTAATTATAAATGTTAGTTAAAAAGTAAGCGCAAAATGAATGCAATATAAAGACAAGTATTTGATCTCATTTCTCAAATTAATGCCATTTTTCAAATTCAATAGTTTTTTTAATTCAAAAATTGCTTAACACTATACACTTACTATGTATTACACTGTAATAATTACAGTATATGCTATAAGAATGTGTAAAACAGTGTTTTTAATTATATGTTTATCTTATAAAATGAAATAAATGTAGCAAATAAATTAAATATTGTTATTATTACTTATAATAATAACAGTATAGTCCTGTTTTTTTTTGCTTAAAAACATTAAAAACAACTGAATATTTTGATCTAAAAATATACAATAGTTGACTATTTATTTAAAAAACACTCAAATCCTATTAAATATAAGTATACATCTGTTTATTCAAACATTTGTATATAAATTTAAACACCAATTCATATAAAGTTTTAT